AAAAAAAAATATAATTTGAACCATTTTTGCCCAAACTCATATTTGGCTTTTTTATGCCCCTCTGTGTTTCCATGGGTACCATGAGCTGATCACGATGATCTATGTCATAAACGACTTTAGATAATCGATTACTTTCTTGGGCAAAGTTTTAGCCCCTAAGGAGACGAAAAAAAATTATACTACGGTGACCCCCGCCCCCCGACCCCCCCTTGGTGGCTGAAAATGACCTTTAAGGGAAACATAAAAGTTACCAAGCGGATTTTGACCCCTTAAAGGTCAAATGGGCCAATATGTTTCTTCCCACGAAAGTTACGTCTATCCATGTACTATCCACTGACATATTGCTTTGACCCCCCCCCACTGACATATTGGGAGACCCAATTCGGGAGGCACGGGTCCGAATTTTCGAAAAAAATTGAAATCGCCCAAATGGGGTCAAAAACCGATCCAAACCCAAAATTGACCCCATTTTTGGATTACCCTTAGGACGCCCTACACTTTATGACCCTCCGCCCAACCCTTGGATCCTTAAATCGGGTCGAAAAGTGAAAAAAATCGATTTTTTTACTTTTCAACCTGATTTTGACCATAGGACGAGCCTAAAAGTGTCTTTTACATGTATTTATATGCAAACGTCATTCTCTGAACTTTAGAAGAATCCTCCTACACTAATGTAAGAGGAACTAGAAGAAATGGTTTGTGCATTGGATAATTTTCCACTATTGTATATTAAATAAGATATGAACCACCACACATTTTCGTTAGTTCGCTGTTTGTAGGATAGATACAGCGCCATTCAATATCTGACAACTATACTTGTCCTATGATTTTGGCCTTTCAAAGGTCAAATGGGCCAATATGTTTCTTCCCATTAAAGTCGCGTCTATCCATGTACTATGCACTGGCACACTGCTTTGACCCCCCGGGAGACCTAGTTCGGGCGGCACGGGTCCAAACTTCGAAAAAAGTACTGACTTGTACATAATCAATATCGAGTGTACAAAATGAATGCTGACTTGTACATAATCAATATCGAGTGTACAAAATGAATTCTGACTTGTACATAATCAATATCGATTGTACAAAATGAATTCTGACTTGTACATAATCAATATCGATTGTACAAAATCAGATTTGAATTGTACATATTTTGTACAATTTTCTACAATATACTTTGTTATAATAATATGAATAATTAAAAAGTTGGCCATTCGCGGCCAATTCGAAAACTACTATAAAAATTGGGATGGGTGAAATTTGAGTACCCGATTGAAATTCTGCAAATCTAATTACAGATTTGAATTGTACATATTTTGTACATTTTTCTACAATATACTTTGTTATAATAATATAAATAATTAAAAAGTTGGCCATTCGCGGCGAATTCAAAAACTGCTATAAAAATTGGGGTGGGTGAAATTTGAGTACTCGATTGAAATTTTGCAAATCTAGTTACAGATTTGAATTGTACATATTTTGTACATTTTAACGACGTATACTTTGGAGGTGTACGAAAGTTGAAAAAAAAATCCGTAAATTGAACTTTTTTGATTTTTGAACTTTTGTCTCCAGATTGTGACCCGATGAAACTTTCTCAAATCTGATGGTTGATTTGAATTGTACATATTTTGTACATTTTAATGACGTATACTTTGGTGTTGTACGAATTTCGGGTAAACATTTTCCGGGTTTTGATATTTTCAATTTTTAAAAATCCAAATTCTGAAAAAAATTTGTTGGTACATAATCATAATAATTGTTGTACATAATTGTACATAATTTGTACATTTTAGTAGTATATATGATTTTTCAAAAGTTGACATCGACCGGAAATTGACTACCTATCCATTAAATCCAAAAAATCGAAAATCGGAGTCTAACATTGAAAGGTTTACTGGTGAGTAATTGTTGTGGCGCTATTGGTATTGACAGCTCGGGTTTCATATGAATGGTTAACAATAAAATAATATGTTAATAAAAGCATACTTACCCGAAATAATCGTAGAATATTTGCCACCATTATTGAAACTACGCTGAATGAAGCCCCAATAACACCAGAAACCTGTAAAATTAGCAAAAACGATACAAAAACATGGAAGCTGATCCACAAACATTAATCTGAATACCGGTTTATGTGGTATGAAAATTGGTGGTTTGCCATTTTCACACTTGTACTCAGACATATCCTATATTATCCATCAACAGTAATATCAGTTCGATAGCAGCAAAAGTAATGGCAGCAACAACAGCAATAGCAATGTAAATCGTCGTGTATAAATTCAATAAACAAAATTGATTTCGCACAAAGGTTCATTAAATTCAATCCATAATATTTTTCAAGACAGAATGATCCCATGAAGAAAGTCAGCATCATATCCAAATGCAGCAACGATAAAAACGTGAAATTAGCAATACAGTAACAGTGATAGTGACAGCGATCATCATTTAAATATGTAGTACCGATTAGTACCGAAAAGAAAATAAAGAAAATCGTTTTTTAATAGTTTACGTGTGTAAAATATAATCACATTTCGATTTGATGAACATAGACGAAAAACCATGAAAACAAATAGAATCACACAAAAAATAAGCCTGACAAATTATTTTAGGATTCCTATTAAAATATTAATTTGTAAGGTTTCCTTATAATATTGGAACATTTTATCAGGAAACCTTTAAATAATAAAAATGTTTTGTTTCAACACAGTGAAGTTGGCTTTGACGTTTGGACGCGCCAATTTATTAGGATTCCTGTTAAAATATTGCGATTTTATAAGGAAACCTTACAAATTCATTTTTTAATAGGGATCCTAAAATAATTTGTTGGGTTTTTCTCTTGTGTGATGAAACAGTTTCAGGGGAAAATACGTCGATTTTCATCTTTACTGTATAGCAGAAATGTTATACGGTGTGATGTCTATCGTTGTGGGAAATTCATGATTTGTACTTCAGCTCTGTTATTATAACGTAAATCGCTACATTCATAATACACCGTAAAATTTAAGCTTCAACTCCTTCCTTTATCCAAACACAATACCTTTTTTACCAGTAGCGTTTATAACTTCTGACGGTCGCGTTCAAAAGGGGAGGATGTTAATTTCAAAAAAATTCTAAATTGTAAAGGGAACATTTTCAGCCTGGTGAACTTTTCCGTTTTTTTTGCTCTTCACTTTTTTGGCGAAAATCAATTTTTCTCAATTTCTAAAGGGATAATTTCCCAAATCCATTCTCCAGGGGGGAGTTATTTGGATCCTTCCCCCCCTGAAAAAATTTCCTCGCACACTACTGGGTTGAAGATATCATGAATCAAGGAGCTCGTGAAATTTTCATGCAAATTGGTCTTAATATCATTTTTCAAACTCGAAATCAGGAGATTCAGATTATTTGTCATTTACTTTCAACACGGATGCGCATTCAGTCAAAATGGAAATTCGTAGCGAAATAATTTTGTACATAATTTTAGTTCATTTATCAAGGTATGATACTTGGTTTGCTTGATCTTATATATAAATTCTGTGTATCAGCTAGCATTTGCCATTGTAATCGGAATGAGTAGTTGCTTTGCAGAGTGAGACATATGATTTTTTTTAAAGCGAAACGTTTATACAAAGACCAGGTACAAAATGTTCTCCCCTTTTAATATAAAAAGGTGGTATTGAAGTATACTCTGAAATCAATATTATCCTGGTACAAAGGCATATCCATTAGAAATTGTGGTCTTTTTATTGTAGCAACCTATTTTATTTATTATGCGCAATTGAAGAAATTGTGATGATTCTGATTTCCCTGTTGCTCAATGTAAAACGTACCTCATTTTATTAATCGTTACAACTTGTCATTCCAATTTGCTTTAGATTTCTTATGAAATTACTTATCAAATGGTATATGAATGTGAGTATGTGGTGTGTTTAGTGCTAGTCTACGCCAGCCGTTGGGCCGAAGAAAGTAAAAATGACTTTCAGGCGAATTGCAAATAAAGTAGTACTGATGATGATTTTGTTAAATCATAGATCTGGGCATCGTTTTTTCAATATAATATATTTATGAATACTTTCCAGAAGGCCGATAAACACCTGCAATATATAAGATAATTGGTAAAATAAGCAAAAGTAGTGGAAATGCGGAGCATGGTATAGGATTTCCTATATAAAACTTGTAACTAACAACACCTCTAATGCGTATTCCGAGTACTAATTGACGTTTGTGACAATATGGCCGTCACGGTTTGGCAAAATCATAATGAATCGATTAAACTGCGTTAAACTGTTAAAATAAAACAGTAGAAATAAATAAATTTTATTTTTTCACATTTTTGAAAATAAAAAATATTTTGTTTTTTTAATTTTGTGAGATTTACTGCACAATATTCAAAAATATTAAATTAATAAAAATGAATTGGTTGACATAACCTCACTTTTGTGTCACAATCGTGATAAACAGATCAAATAATTATTAAAACGAAAGTGAGGTTATGTCAACCACTTCATTTTTTATTAATTTAATATTTTTGAATATTGTGCAGTAAATCTCACGAAACTACCGGAAACTACAAAACAAAACAAAGAATTTTTATTTTAAAAAATGTAAAAAATTAAAATATTTTCATTTTCACTGTTTTAATAATTATTTAATCGGTTTATCACGATTGTGACACAAAAGTGAGGTTATGTCAGCCAATTCATTTTTATTAATTTAATATTTTTGAATATTGTGAACAGAAAATCTCACAAAATTAAAAAACAAAAGATTTTTGATTTTCAAAAATGTAAAAAATTTAAATCTATTTATTTCTACTGTTTTATTTTAACAGTTTGACGCAGTTTAATCGATTCATTATGATTTTGCCAAACCGTGACGGCCATATTGTCACAAACGTGAATTAGTACTCGGAATACGCATTAGAGGTGTTGTTAGCTACGGGCATGATCAGGCTTCGTGGAAATGTAAACAGCGCCACTACCAAAAATACAAACTATGCCATGTCTGTGTACATAATTGCATAAGTATGAGTGAGCCAATGTATGGAGTAGACAATAAAGAACCGAAAAGGAGGATGGGACTTTTTCATTTTTATGTTGGTATCACTGACATTATTTCCATTTGTTTATATGTGAAGTGCTACCAATATAGAAGTGACTGACTCACAAAGTCCCATCCTCCTTTGGATACTAGTGTATTACGGTTCTTCATTTCACATTAAGCCGTTCGGCTAAAGACTGAAACTTTATCTCTTGAATATTTTTTTCATAAAACTAAGAATAGGAACAATTCATCATGCTTTATGGACGCTACTGGGTTTTTAATATTCAGTTTGTTGATTTATATTCTTCTTGAGAGTTATTTGTCATTTAAACGTTCGCTACCCATATGAAACTTCAACGCTATGCGCGTCAAATCGACGTTATTTGACGCTCTTCCATGTGTATATAGAATTGTACATTATGTTTTACAGTGCTGTGCGAACGCAAGCATGCGGCCACATATACACCAATACACAGCAACAACGAACTCCGTTTATGTGCGCGCTATGCTTAGTTGCCTGTTATGTTTTGTGTATTGATTTGAATTGCAACTCAATCACAGTAGACGACGCATGCACAGCACTGTGAAAGATAATGTACAATTCTATATACACATGGAATAGCGTCGAATAACGTCGATTTGACGCGCATAGCGTTAATTTTTCATATGGGTAGAATACAAATAACAAAAATACGATAAAAAATCGTTTTGCAAGATATGTGAAAAATATCGTCGACATTCAAAAGCATAGGTGAGAAGACAAATCACATACTCTCCTTTTGTAAAATTTAAATGAACTCGCTCTCTTTCACGATAAACTAAATCTAAATATTAACCATCTTTACCATGAAAAAAATACTATCGTAATATCGTACTACAATTCAGAAAAACATACTCTCCTACATTTTTTTAGTACCTATGGAATTGAGAGTTAGAATTTAATTGCCAACTTTTTCATTGAGATTTCTATAGGTTATAGCGAGCATGAGGAAGTTCTTATATTCCTATTTATTTACACAATTAATCAATTGTATGTTACATTTTTTTGTTCCAAAATGTAAGGGTGGCAAAATACATCAGCACTACGGTTTATAAAATATAAATTCTACGCGTTCTTGACTAGCACTTTCTTCAGATATTTACTAGTCATTGTTTGTGAATATAATTCTCTGTGAAGAAGAATATAGTAATAACGCTTGATTAAATTTATTATGTAAATTTATATATAAAAAAACAAAGGACGATTAAAACAAGAAAAACTGAAAATAGATTTTTTTATTTGAAGACAAAACTTACTCACTCACCGTAGCTGATATCGTATTTTTGCATACAGAAAATGGGACAAAACAAGCACACAAACTAATTAATCATCAAATGAATAGTATCATCAATTTATTATGTATATCGTGTTGGCCCCCAAACATCAATAAACATTAGGTATTAAGAATAAAAGTAATAAAAAAATAATCAACACAGGTATTAAGAATAAAAGTAAACTCAAAATATAAAAGCAACAGTGACATATCTACCGAGGTGGTTTGGAAGTCCATAGTAAAATCATCTTACACAACGGAAAATATTTTTTGTAACATTCGATTTTTTGGCAGTATACCGTTTATTGTACGTACCAGTTAATATCCCTAGCTTTGAACGATTTTATCGAAATTCCAACTGAACGTAGGGATTCAGAATAAGACATTTGAACGCTCTGGAATAAAAACAACGTATTGTTTGCTCGCATATCGAAACTATATTTTGTTAATAAGGTAATATGGAACATTGACTTTTTTCATGCAAGGTTTGTTCTGATAACACAATTTAAATGCTCGTTGCGCTCGTCATATTTTGACCGTAAATGAATATAACGATTCAATAAATTACGATTTTGGCTGTTCATTTTTAATCGTTCCACGTTTACTTGGCTTATAATAATAATAATAATAATCTTTATTCACCGCCAAAACTGGCTGAATCATTTGAGTTTTTACAATTTTTTATACATTTGTTGGTGGGAAAAAGGTATGAATCAGTGATATACTATGGTAAACATCTGATCACCGTTAAAAACCACATCTTTTCAATAATAATCTTACGACCACCTACGATATTCTAACGGTCACCCACACGGTCCACCAGCCCGGGTCAGTAGATCGAATGAACACTCAGCCACTATCCCAGGCTGCACCAGCCCGGGTCAGTAGATCGAAATTATTCAAGTTTATTTTTCGAACTTTGTCTTCAGGTATCTTCATCACAACGATCTATGTTATTTTCTCCCAAATAATCTTTAAAAAATTGGCTCGCTTCACTCGCCATAGCTTCTCAATACGTTTGAGAAGTTTCTAGGGGCTTTCTACTATTCGTGAATGGCAGTTTATTCACAAAATATAAACTTTTCCTATTCATACGTAAAATATACGAAATAAAGTATATTCACTCGCATCAACATTTATGAAAATTCGTATATTTCATTCGAAACCATTCGCGAATGCCGCATACTATTTGCGAGATGTGACATATTGTCGTGATTTGCACATAAACCAAAGCATGGCAGTAGTGACAGTTGGGCAACGCAGCATTGAATAATGGCACAAATTTGTGCTCAATAATGGCAAAAATTTGTACCAGCAACCAATAGGGTTGCTATAGTTCATCTGGCAACCGATGCGAGCGCTTCGGTCGTTTCTTGTCACTGCCGTGCTTTGACATAAACATTCCTGTGTATAGTTTGTATGAGTGATCATTTGCTTCCATTCGCAAAATATGTATGAAACATTCGCTCGCAAATGCAACATTCGTATAAGTCGGAACCCCCTAGGGAAGTTTGAAAATTGAAAACATCTTATGCCCTTCAATTTTTCACAAATGAAATGGAAGTTACAATAGATAGAATGGACTTTTGGATAGAATTTTTTTTTGATGGAAAAATTCTTTCCATTTGCTAGGGTTTTTGATGAAAAAAAAATTAGCCCCCACCCAAAGCCGACCTCAAGTTACGCCAGGAAGAGGAATCCAGCGCCATATGGAGTATGGTAGAGCAAATCGGGCGTCTTACAATAGGTTAAGAAAACTGAGCAACGAAAAACTATGGACATCGCTGAAAAGTGGGCCTATTACACTCACCATTCTAATCCAATAATCCAATGGGCATTGTAATAAACCCTTCAAACTAATTGTATTTAACATACATACGTCAATTCGAGTCTTACACACACTTCGTTTAGAAAGACCAATAATACATGGACTGCTGCGTCAAATATCGATACGCGCAGAATTTTCCGGATATTTATCTATGCTCAGTATATGCACTGTTTGTAACCCGCACAACTCAAGCAAGATATCAGCTATCAACTTGAAACTCTCAGCTGTCATGCAACTTATTGAACTTTTTCAATTTGAACAATATTTCGGGGACATTTCAGAGATTTATTAGTCTTTAGCCTAAGTGGGGTGGCACCAAGTTACATAACAGCTTTCATGCCATCATTTTTGCTGTTTTAACAACATTAAAATTATATAGCGTTGTGTTGATTGCCTAAATTATATTAAGCTATTATATAGTAGTAGTTTTCTCCTTATTGCACACTTCCTTACCTATAAAAATATTGGTGCAATTGAAAAAGAAAAGTGGAAAAAGAGCGGAAAACGGAAAATGTCTATTACCTGATTCATATAATAACGTACGAATTCCATCGATTGCTCGAGTGCATAGGTATCGCTGCTACACGAGTCAATGATTAACGACCCGAGCGTTACGTTCGGCAATAGATCATTGTCGTTCTTGTTAATTTTGTCTAATGCATACATCATGGCTTCAAGCCGTTGTATACCTTTTTCCTCCTTAACCATTCCGCATGGATATTCGGGATTATTGATATTATGCTCGTGCATTGGAAATATGCCACCCAATATTATGTCACCGCCTGTTCGAATTAATCGGCCAAAGTCACTTGACCATTTATTTGATCTTGATGGCAATCCGTTTCGAGAATGGCTCAGAATAGTTGTTCGTCCACCACCACGATTAGTGCCTAGACTGTTCCTAAGAATCGTACAAAAAACGCCACAATAAAGTAATGATAGTTATAACTACATAATATTAATATTAAATATATATTTTAAATAAACATCTTAAATATCATCTGTTGCCATTACGTGAAAAAAATGTATTTCGAAGAAATAATGATCAAAACCAAAGAGAGTACGAATAATCTATGGATAAGTCAGCTCGGAAAATCGTTGCAAGTAAACTGACAATTAGTAAAATTGTCGAAATGTCGTTTGGATCTTTAGAGTTTTTTTATATGTGTTAAATATTTCCATTTTCGATTTGGCTGGCGTCATTGAATTGTCATCAAATTAAGTTATCTACAAAACAAATCATAACGATTACAAGATACATACATGTACGGCATTGTGTTGACAGGTGCCGTTCGCTCGAAGTGCGTTACAAGCAGCCGAGAGTCATTTCGAAAACTATTGTTATTTATTGAAATGGATGAGGAGGACGGCGGTGAGGCATATTTCACCATTTCAGTTCTGTTGAACATGAGCAGTACAACTATGTACAAAAGCCATGCACGACAGCAGGACATACGTGCAAGAGTGTGGATTATGATCATAAGCAACATTTTGTATAGACTTGTACTTTATTATGTGCTTTTATTCACTCTTTGCGCTTTCAATCTAGGTTCAACGTTTTCCAGCTTCTATACAGAAGCAATATTGCATGCTTCTTCCTTCGTGCTATTCTATTTCACACTCTCACTCGTTTTCTGTTTCTCTCTTTCGATTGGTTTCACTATTTCTTTTAATATTTTGGATCTTCGTCTCCGCCGTCTTTGACACTGGCACTGGTTGGCAAGCGCTTTTCACTCTTTTGTTCCACAAAATCGCTTTATTTTTACCGTTATATTTATAATTTATATCTTTATTACTATTTTTTGTCGATGATGTATTTCTACTTCACTTTCAGATCATTTAGTACACTTCCGAAGTTTAATTCATATTTATTTTTGGGTGTTTCTTGTTGATTTTCATTGTTGGTATTCGAACATATTTGTGCGATTTGTATTGTTGGCTATTTTTTTAATTTTAGATTTTTTCCATATTCGACTTTCTCGAAAAAGATCTTTGGTGTGCTTTATTGTCGTTGTTATGGTTTTTGCTCCTCTTTTGTTTATTGCTATACGCTTGCGGTTGAGTTTTTCTATAAGTCTCTGTTAGTATATATACAGACAAGTGTTGTGTTTATATTGCTTGAGTTGTGAGCTAACTAGAGAAGGACTATATATATTCCTCTCTAGACTGGACCAGTTACATCAATATTTCTCATTCGAATACAATGATTGATTACCGATTCCCGCATGATTCCGTTTATTTTATTGTCGTGTTTTTTTGTACTCTCACTCGCATACTTTCAACCCAAGACTATCCATTTCATTGTTTAACACAAGTATATTTATTTATTTGTTATTTTTATTCGATTTCCTTTTCAAATATTTTTTTTTGTGCCTTTGTTACACTTCGTTTAAATTGAGCTGAATGAAACAAGGTACTTTTTTATCAGTGGGCGAATTACTACACTTTTTTCAGTTTTGTCACTGTTTCAGTGTTTTTTATTTACTATAGCACTAATATTCATTCTACTGTCAATTTCATTCATCATACACAATATGATTCGATTTAATTATTTATTCCTTAATTTTATATTGACTCTAACTTTTTAGCCTTAAAATTCCTTCTTAGTCGTTGTTTTATTTCATGTTGGCACATTACTAGTACCAACGTTTTATTTTTGTTTGTATGACACACATTGTATCCATGTGTAAATTGAGTTTTTTGTCTCTTAAAAAAATATTTTTAAATAATTTTTAAATGTTTGTGTTGTAATGCTTTGGTGTCCTTTTTTTATAGAACAAAATTTCATTTGAATCTGAAATTGAAGTTTTTTATATTTTTTGTACGATATTTTCGATGATGATTTATAAAGTACGAATTACTCTATAGCGTTGTCTTCATCCAGTGTAATTGCTTTCTAATATTTCGAGTTTTTTTTGCAGAAAAAGTCATTTATTACTTAGCATCATGTTGTGTATTATACTATTAAAGCATATCATTTGTTTAATTTAAACGTTCATCTTTCGGTAATTAGATGATTATTTGTTTGGATTTATTTTATTGATGTTCACATCTCATTATCAATTATATTATTTATGTAAATTCATTCGTCCACTTCATTTCAGGTACGGTTTTGATCTAATTTTTATGAAATCTAAAAAAAAAACGAAAAAAATATCCAATCAATACTTTTTTAAACATTTTTAATCTTTGGCCTACTTCAATCGATTTTAATCGATCACTAACTTTCAAAATAGATATGCACAGTTAGAAAATATCAGCCGACGCTATACGCAAAACCGACTGCTACGTGCGCTGATACGTTCTTACATCTTTTACATCTATTACCATACGACTTTTCGACTGTGCGAAGATACGCACAAAGAGTAACGAATCAGTCGAAAAATCGTATGGTCACTAGATGTAAAAGATGTAAAAACGTATGAGCGCACGTACCAGTCGGTTTTGCGTATAGCGTCGGCTGATATTTTCTTACTGTGTGGATTGATTATTTATTAATAAATAATTAACAAAACATGTTTTATTATTTGTGTTCAGAATATATACCAATAAGAAAATAGCGCCTATTTAACGCACCGGACGCTGCTGGACCATTGTTATCAATGGTGCTATTTGAAATTATTTAACCCATTCCACCCGGTTTAGACAAGCGACTTTTTGACATTTTTGTGATTACCAGCGCACTCTATTTCACATGACCAACGCCAGCGCCACCAAGTGGTAAATGTTTATGATGACAACCAATAACATCAAACACGTACACATTTCACATGTCAAATTAAATGTTGTTTATTTTTTGTTGCTCGCATTTATTTTTCTATTTTAATAAATTTTCAAATCGAGAAAAGAATAAAAAGAAAAATACAAACATTTACAACTTTGTGCAGTAGACGTCAATTTATGATTCATCACTTTAAGCTCAAAAATAATGGTGTGTTGCTGATTGAAAGTCTAGGGATTCTGGAATCAATGGCATTTGTGTAAAATAAATGCATCATCTTCATACTTTGTGAGTTCATGCACTCTAAATTTTTTCTCCAATTTTTGAACTGATTTAACGATTGAACTCTTCTTGAAATAGGAGCGAGAATGTGAAAAGGGGCGTGAAATAGAAAGAGAACGTGAGAGAGAGCGGGAACGTGAAGTTTTGCAGACATCAGCAGACATGAATAACGAGAAAAATTTCCTTTGCTGTTATTGTGGTGTTTTCATTAAAAAAAATTCAGCAAATCTGATTAGGCATGAAAAATTACATCGAAAAAAGGTTTCAAAGATCACTTGTTTGGCCGAAAATTGTCAAGTTACGTTTGCAAATAAGACTAATTATTACAAACATTTTGCCAACAAACATCCTGAGTTCAAAGTGCCCGATACTTTTATATTTTTTCTTACCTTGTCACCACGTAATTCGCGTTCAAGAATTCGATTCACTTCGTATTCCGACATTTTTTTTATTGTGTGAACGTCGTTTAGAGTTTTGACTACACGTGGTATTGCGTTTCAGATTTTTTTCTGAAATAAGAATAAAACGTCAAAACTCTAAATAAAATAAAATGTCTTAATACGAAGTGAGTCTAATTCTCGAACGTGGCGCCATCTGTCGAATTGCACTTGCGCAAAATAAAAAAACGAAATGCATCCTGAATTATTTTTGCATTTTGTTTTTTAAGTTAAATAAGATTCCAAATAATATTGCAAGCTCAAAATAATGGTGTTGTTTGCTGCGACCATTTGTATTTAAAGTTGCGACCATTTAAAGTATAAAATAAAATTAAAAAAATGAACTTCACATTTTTTTTAAATGACATTTTTTATACAATTTGGTTTCGTGTATTTTCAAATACAATTTGTTTTCAATAATCACAAGTCAATAAATCAATTTAAATTTTAAATGTCTAAAAATTGATGAAAATATTTTATACGGTTGTATACAATTGAATAGTTGGTAGATTTGTAGAATTTTATAATATACAATTATGTGCAATTATGAGGTATTTTGAAAAATTAAAACGAATGTGAATATTCCAACAGTCCAAAATATGGATCAGATGACAATCGATGATAAATCAATTTTTCAATGTCTATGTTTATGCTAACTTCGAGATTAATATCGGTGCCACTACGATTATTTGACTTGGAAAAATTATTTTTTACTTTCTTAGCTTTTGGAATCTCTTTACAATAAATTAAAGTATCGGGCACTTTGAACTCAGGATGTTTGTTGGCACAATGTTTGTAATAATTAGTCTTATTTGCAAACGTAACTTGACAATTTTCGGCCAAACAAGTGATCTTTGAAACCTTTTTTCGATGTAATTTTTCATGCCTAATCAGATTTGCTGAATTTTTTTTAATGAAAACACCACAATAACAGCAAAGGAAATTTTTCTCGTTATTCATGTCTGCTGATGTCTGCAAAACTTCACGTTCCCGCTCTCTCTCACGTTCTCTTTCTATTTCACGCCCCTTTTCACATTCTCGCTCCTATTTCAAGAAGAGTTCAATCGTTAAATCAGTTCAAAAATTGGAGAAAAAATTTAGAGTGCATGAACTCACAAAGTATGAAGATGATGCATTTATTTTACACAAATGCCATTGATTCCAGAATCCCTAGACTTTCAATCAGCAACACACCATTATTTTTGAGCTTAAAGTGATGAATCATAAATTGACGTCTACTGCACAAAGTTGTAAATGTTTGTATTTTTCTTTTTATTCTTTTCTCGATTTGAAAATTTATTAAAATAGAAAAATAAATGCGAGCAACAAAAAATAAACAACATTTAATTTGACATGTGAAATGTGTACGTGTTTGATGTTATTGGTTGTCATCATAAACATTTACCACTTGGTGGCGCTGGCGTTGGTCATGTGAAATAGAGTGCGCTGGTAATCACAAAAATGTCAAAAAGTCGCTTGTCTAAACCGCGTGACCCATTCGCTTTAAATTTGCGCGAACCGCTTTTCTACAATTTTGTTTTATTGTAAATGCTTCGTGACGAAAATTAAGATATATCTCTAATCAGAATAAAATCACGACATAACACGTTTTTTGTGAAATATATGAATGGTTCCATTTGGTAAAATTAGATAGGGACCATAGCGGGGAGTGGGTTAAATTGTTTATTATTTTTTGTTTCTACTTCCACACAATGACACCATTGTTTTGTCCAGCATACACAGCGGCCGAGCGAAGAGATGCGTAATTTTTTTTTATTGATATATCAATAGCAGTAAAAATATTTATGAAACACTTACAAATGACTATTGTATATGCTTAAAAAAACAGTGTAATTAATTATTTTCTCAGATTACAATGAAAATATAATTTAAAATACATTTATGTTTATATTTTTCAATTTTTTTTTGAAGCGAACTGAGCAACTAAAATGCTAGGCATCTCAATCAAAACACTGTAAACATTGCGAATATTCGCAAAATACGTACAATCATTCGTAATATTCATAGTAAATATATTCAATTGATGTGCCGCCATATTGGAATTTGGTTGACATAACATATGCGTAATAAGTTTTGACACTAAATTCAGGCGATTATTGCGCTACATAAACAAAATAAAAAATGTCAACAAATGCATAGGAGACTTAACGGGACTCCTACTCTACTGTCAAATACAATTTGCACAAAAATTTCCATTCGTGATGGCGTAAAAATTGGATTTACGAAAAAGTGTCTCAAATGGTTTTGGACAGCTAAGTTCAAAACAAATTCTGCATGTGTCTAAAGATGAATCAATCTCTCTTCGAACCATGTATCATCTTATCTTTATCTTATCTTTTGGCTTTTTTCAGTATCTTATCTTTATTTTTTAAGATAAATAATAAGATATTTTGGTCATTTATTAAAAAAAAAATCATCAATTGTCGGTATGATTAATTTGTTTATTGAAGCGAAAATGATCAATTTCATGACCCGATTCGTCAAAATTATATTCGAATTCTTCGTTATCAGTATTTTGGTCAAAGCATCGTATGATTTTTGCCATATATCTGTCGAAAAGCTGAAACGAACGATTCCCTCTGATAGAACGATAAATAGTGCACAGTAATGCCTATAAAACTACGGTTTTTCGATAAAATCTCAATGCACGATTCATGGGCCCGATTACTTCGACCGATTAATATCCACAGTGCGTGAAGTTTCTTTATAGCAGATATTAATTAACATTCTTTTTTTTCGCCTTGACATTTTTCAAAATTTTATTCAAATAATTTCCGTTATCTTATTTTTTTATCTTATCTTTTCGAAAGATATCTTATCTTTTATCAAAAAGATAAGATGAAAATCTTGAAAATATCTAGATGAATTTAGGAAAATTGAGATACTATCTCAAAAGTATCTAGATACATTTCAGATATCTTAACCAAACACTGCGTGTTTCATGGATTTAATATGAATGTAAAGATTCTAGAAAAACCAAAAAGTACGGTCGTATTCTCAATTTAAATGCCCAAACTTTTCAAAACTGTCACCAAGTGCCAAAAATCGGATTGGTCAAGCAAACATTCATTTTTGGTGATTCTTATGGTTACAGCACATCCAAATTTGAGCCAAAACAATAGATTTAGACACGATCAAAAGTAATCAGCAAAATAAGTTACGAAATAGCATGTTGAAATCGAACCATGAATCAAGTGCAAGTGTTTTCTTTTGCATTGATTATGTTAGGGCACTACTATATAAGGCTAGAGACGTCGACAAACCGAACTTTGATAAAGGGGTGTTTGTATGGTAGGATCTTCTTTGGAAGGTTTTTTAGAGCCATTATTCGTAAATTCAGTGCTGAAACGTAAGGTCCATTATCAACCAATTATTGTTGGAATTGATAGAGTTTGTTGAGAACTATCTGATTAAAGACAAAATTGTGCTTTGCAAGCAGGAAAAACCACAATAATGGCTCACTTCTTAAAAAATAGCATTTCTATGGAAAAAGGACAATTTTTTTAACTTCACAAAAAGAATTATTTCTCGTCTGTTTTCGGATGTATGTTACAGGCAAAGGTCCAAAACACTTGAAACGAGCAACAATTAGTGGGAAGGTTTGAGAGAAAGTTGATAGAAATCGACAAATCGGTCTGCCAAACAGGGCTGTAATTTTCACTCTGTCAGTGC